CTTGGGGACCTTCGACGCAGAAAATTCTGTCTGTCTGTACATTTGCCTGTTTGTCCACGTTAACAATACCCCCAACGAAACCAAACCCTACCCCAAACGGCCACCCCAGCCGCAGCGCCCACCAATATTGCTCATGTTTCAGCGTTCATACTTGTGCGATTGTCGATTAAAAAGCAATGATTGCGCATATCTGAGGCACCATAACAACACGTCAGTGTTTTGTATGTGTGTCTTCATACTAGAAAAGGCACACATAAATAATTTTAAAGGTCGTAGCATTTATTTTATATTTTTCTTTGCATAACACAGATCCACTGCGGCAAAAGTGGCCGAAACATTCCATATTCAATATAGATCAAGGCCATAAAAATTTGTGAAGGATTACATGAATAACACAAAGGAACAATGGGAGGCACTGCTGTCTAGCTCGGCCGTTGCTGATCAGCTCTGGCTGGTCCAACGGGTAGAGATGGTGGCTAGGGTCAGTTTAGCCTTGGAATAGGGGCCCGGCCATTTGGAATGCTCCGCTTTATGCACAAATAAAGTTCTCTCTCTCTCTCTCTCTGTGTGTGTAGGATTCCATTGATTATTTTATTGCGATATCAATTACATGCACACCCTCAGTTGTATTTCGCCGTCGGCGTCGCCGTATTCACCAGTGGTGGGCGCGAGCACTGCAATCGCTGTGACGTGCAGGGTTGGATCACAGATCTCGACTCGCTCTGGCGAAGGAAAGCTGGCAGTTGGGTGCGTTGTTTTTAACGGCGCCTTCACGGTGTCTTCATTTTTTAACAGCGTTGTATTGCTCCGAATTCATCTGTGCAGGCTTCTGCTGGCTACCCAATGCGGAAAGTTGCAGTAAACCTTACCGGTGGTGTGACACATCACGCTACTTGCGCGACACCACTATCGTGGCCGCTGGCAGTGCGACTGTCTGCACCGCTCTCTTTCACCCCGCCGCGGTGGTCTAGTGGCTAAGGTACTCGGCTGCTGACCAGCAGGTCGCGGGATCGGATCCTGGCTGCATTTCCGATGGAGGCGGAAATGTTGTAGGCTCGTGTGCTCAGACTTGAGTGCACGTTAAAGAACCCCTGGTGGTCGATATTTCCAGAGTCCTCCCCTACGGCGTCTCTCATAATCATATGGTGGTTTTGGGACGTTAAATCCCACATATCAATCAACCACATCTCTCTTTCTTTGTTGTTGTTACTATTTCGAGCTCACGGGGTTAAATTGAGCACAGACCATGAATGTTCACATTCAAGCAGAACGTTTCGGTTTCTGTGCGGGAGCCTCGTTCACAATAAAAAAATGAATGTGCAAGCGGTTTGATTATGTGTATTTTAAAATGGGACTCAGAATTGTCAGATAGTCAAGATAAAGCCCGGAAGTCCAGTATCCTTCTCTTTGTTTTCATTGTTTTTACCCTATTCTGGTCTCTTTCGTGGCCAGTTGCTTCTGCGCGTGTTTGATCAGCCCGTTCAACAAAACCTTCTTTCTTAGATCATATATGTGGGCTCTATAGTCTATGCTAAAGCTTACTTCTATAGGTAACTTTTACCGCAGTCTGCGCACCACCATCCTCCCCGGGCGTCTGAAGTGGTTCTTGAGAGAAAGGAAGAGAAAAGTGAGCCCCGTTATTGTCTGCTTCAGTGAGCGACACCGCCACAGAGCTCACAAAGGGATGGGGGTAAGGAGGGATAAAAGGGTAGAAGTAAAGGTATAGGAAAGAGGAAGAAGAAGCAACAACAAACTGAGGGGATAGGAGAGACAGGAAAGATGGAAGAACGGTCACTGGAGTCCGAGGACGGGGTACACTTGCGAGAGATGGTGTCGGCGTCTGTAGATGGCGTAGAGCAGGACCAGTAAATCAGAGCTGCGCTGTCGTCGAAGGCCGTCGGCGACAGGAGATGACGTAGGACGAGCCCAGTCGGCCAGCGCTACGATGACGCCGAAGGTCGCGAGCGCGCGGAGCGCGCGGGCGCACAACCGGTCGGCACGAAATCCAGGGAGCGTCCCTCCCCGGGCGTCGTTCCCATGTGTGTACCCGGCCACGCGGGTTTCCATCAGCCAGTGGTGTAGCCATGAAATGGCACACCAAGCCCATGTCCCCCCCCCCCCCCAAACTTTTTCATGGCATATAACGCACAAAATAACGGTCGCCCACACTTGCCTGCCAAGCCCCCCGTTCCAATCAAGGTGGTGCCTTCTCCGAAAAAAAAAAAAAAAAAATGTGCCAACGCGCCTGCCGTCCACGACTTCAGCTCACAGGGTTCCTTGCTTATAGATTACGTCTGTATAGAATGGGCCCATAGTCACTGTCCATTTCTTCTCAACGTTGTTTTGATCTACAGGCGAAAACGTGGTAAGCTTCGAAAACTGATTCGTCTTCGAAGAGCTGCCATGAAATACACAGCTTATTAATGAAACTGCATAAAAAAAAACTGGACACAGACAATTTTATCGAAACATAAAATTGTCGTTTAGTTTACGGTGCGCAAGACCTCGCAGCATGCTCAAGGGAGTGAAATGATCACGATTTACCCCTTTGTAGAAGCTCTGGAACTGAACCAATCATTCATAATTATCACCCATGTGGGGCTAGATGGCTATATAATGCGCAACGTGTGACCACCGTAGAAATTTTGCGAAATAAACATTAGCCGCGCACCACAGAGAAAAGTTACAACTCTCAATGAGGCATGCGCGTGCGTGATTCTCACACGGTTGCCCGCAATGATCACAAAAACGTTGCGGCTGCATGCGGCTGTAAGAAGGCTTTGTCGCTTCCCACAAAGCGTGGAGTCCGCTTGAGCTGTGCTAGATTGATTGATATGAGTGGTTTAACGTCCCAAAACCACCATATGATTATGAGAGACGCCGTAGTGGATGGCTCCGGAAATTTAGACCATCTGGGGTTCTTTAACGTGCACCCAAATCTGAGCACACGGGCCTACAACATTTCCTCCTCCATCGGAAATGCAGCCGGGATTCGAACCCGTGCCCTGCGGGTCAGCAGCCGAGTACCTTAGCCACTATACCACCGCGGCGGGGCCGAGCTATGCTTCGTATGGTTGTGTGCGCTAAACATAAATGTAATTTGCACATATACGCTTGTCACGTCAACCGCGGTCCGTCTGTAGATGCAAACCTACAATGAATGAAGTAGCGTAGTTGCACGCATTTATTGCAGCAAAGATAATTTTTTTTTACCTTAAATGCCCATTTGATGCATCGATTCAACACGGAATGAGTCGTCACCTTTTACAGAGGCGATGCGCTCGCCCCCCACCCCCGCCTCCCCGTGGTTGTTTCATTTTGGTGGCCATAGCAGACGACGCCCGCAGTCGGACATTGTGAGAAGCGTAACACTTTTTCGGTGCAGTTTTTTAGCACTTCGTACAGTCGGGAAAGAAGCTGCAGCAGTATTTTACCGATTTCGTTGAGTGAAGTACAACAACAACAGCAATAATAATAATAATAGTAATAATAGTAATAATAATAATAATAATAAGACACGAAAGCGGCTGCAGACTGCGCGCGAGAAGGCGGCGGAGCAATCCAACCACATCCATCTCAGGGATGCCTCCGCATGATGGCCCCGTGGTATGTCCTCGAGCCCAATAGGTTTTTATATACATGAAAATGCAAGAAAGAAAAGTTACTATCCAGAAAAAGACTCCGGCGCGAGGAATGGAACGTCATACCTCTGAGTTGTGAGTGCGAGGCGTTAGCCACTGAGCCACAAAGGAGCTTTTTTTCTTGTTTATGGCAGTGCTTCAACAATTTTCAACAAATTTTTTACAATTATTTCATGTATATAGTGATCCCATGCACGGTACCCCATCGGGCATATCGTTGTCCATTTCGAGAGTCTTTAACTTCGTTTTGAACTGCTTAGCCACCTCCTCTAACATTCGAAAGACAAGCTATTTATACCTACCAGACTTACCACTTGTGATGGGCATCTCGGGGGGAGCTATTTCGCGTTTTCAGCGTTACCAGCGAGATGGCGCGTTGAGCCCGCGTTGCCACATCGTCACAACGCGGCGGTGCACGCTCTCGTCTTCCACGCGTAGTTTGTGCCGCGGTGATGGGGCAGGATATACGCTCACACATGCGCCTGCTTATCTCGGTGCGGGGACAATCGTACGCCATGGGCGTTCACCGGAACGATTCTGTTGTAGTTACCGGGCACACAAAGGTCACTGCAATCGCTGCCCAGTCTCCATTTGCGAAAAGGGGGCGCTTTCCAGACACAGCGAAGTAACAACTAAGGCGCTTTTCCGCGTTCATGATCTGTACCTGTGAGTACGTTTCGTGCATCATTTGTACGTGAGAAACACGAGGCACGTTTTGATCTGCTTGCCATTCTGCGCGTGACCTTCCAATTAGTTGATATCACATTCATTGCTTTGCCTTTGTGGCCGAGCTGTGACTTTTTTTTTATTGTTTGCTCTGAAGGTGGCACTATCGCACTTTTCGGGTGATTTATTACGTTTTTTTTTTGTTAGCCATCTGAAATATAGATATAAGAAGTCGACTTCGCTAAGAATTATGGGAACGGCGGCCGCGAGCGCGCCGACTTGAGAGAGGACAATGACGACCACGGGTGCGCTCGGGGCACGTGGAAGCCGCTGGCGGTGGGCAGTTGCCGCCGAGGCTTAGAGGAATAAATAAGGTTTCAGGTCTGGCTCCGCGTCTTCCCTGTGGGGTTCTGGGCCGAGCAGCCTCGAAATGCCTACGTTTGGCGCCTTACGGGAAGAATTCTGCCCGTAGGCCACTTCCACCATTTTGTTATAAAGCTTGGACAGCAGAAAGACTTCACTTTGTCCCAGATCGGCAACGCCGATCAGACCCCCCTTTGCTTTGATATGCCGCGGAACAAAATAGTGGAGCAGAAAGGTGCACGGAGCATCATCGTCAGAACGTCTGGTGCTAATAAACAAAGATGCACCGCAATGCTGAAGGTGAAAGCTGTTAAGTAATCATACTGAAAATACTGAAGGTTTAATTCATTTATTCAACATTGTATATTGTTCTCTTTTTGCCACACGTTGACACAGCTAGCATAAACAAGTCGCATACACAAAAAAGCCACTGTCGCACAAGGGGATATACAATATTTAGAGCCTACTGGTTTGATTTCCTTTTGTAATGTTGAATTGAGCACACTGCGAACAAAAGAGCGCGTTCACACTGTTATTGATTCCATTGCTCGAAGATTCTCTGTTGATTCGATAGACTATTGGCTCAGTAGCTTTCAAAATCACTTGAGTAGCAGCTCAAATCTGACCTCTGAGTCAAGGTACTAATCTATTGATAGGCCTTCCAAATGCATCAGATTGTAAAAACAGTGCACTTTCGTGCTAACAAAATGGCTCTTTTTCGTAGACTCGAGTCAGACGCTACACATTTCTTTAAGGCTCAAGAGTAAAACATGCAAGTGCCTGGAGAAATCTACAATTGACAGTGCTTCTTCAGCACGTGTCGCTCTAGCGTTCCCTGCCATGCCGTGACAAAGGTGCACATTTCACATTTGTATGGCTTGTCCCCCGTGTGACTGCGCATGTGCCGCACCATTAAAGAAGGACGACTAGCGACGTACGAGCACACGTCGCATGTATGCTCCTTCCCTTTCATATGGATTTCCATGTGCTTCTCCAAGGCGTCTTTATTGACTGTTTTATACGGGCACAGGTCACACCTGCACAGCTCAGACTTGTACAGCTTCCCATCGGGATGCGTCTGTTGCATGTGGCGAACGACGTTATGTTTCTTCGCAAATTTCGCTAAACAGATGGGGCATTGGATGCACTTATCGCCCTTGTGAGCCAACATGTGGTCCCTCAATGTGTACTTTGATTTCGTTGTGAAAGAACACAGTTCGCAGTGTAGCCACTCCACTTTCGTTGTAGGCTCAATGACAATGTTCACTTTCTTGGCACCGTCAGATCCTCCCCTACCTTTGCTCACTTTCTCGGCACTGTTAGCTGCCCCATTATAGTTGCCCAATCTCTCGGGCTTGTCCGTTGCTCCACTGTAGTTGCTCTCTTTCGTGACACCGTCAGTTGCTCCACTACAGCTGCCCACTTTCTCGGCACTGTCAGTTATCCCACTGCTGCTGCTCACTTTCTTGGAAGATTCAGTTGTTCCACTATGCTGGTCCACTGCCTTCCTCGACAGAAAATGCGAGTCGTTCTGACTCGATGCTCGTGATGACTTTGCACCTCCAGGATCAGAAGCTGCGAAAGTACAATTTGCACTGTTCTATTCAAATACACATGATAAACAATGCTGATAAAAATATATATATAGTAGCTGAGTCACAGCCACTGAGCTTAATACCTAATATGCAAAGCTTTACACACAATCTTTCCCTCGAAAGAAAGAAGGGCAATATCGAGGGCTCGTTTTTTTTCGTTGCCTGACACAATATGAATGAGAACTAACAGACACGAAAGTGAAGGGAAGCATGGGGCATGTTATTTTGCAGTAACTATGATATAAGTGCAAAGAAAGAAAAGTGGAGGAAAATATGAGTTGCCAATGACAGAAACAGCACCTGTCACCTTTAAACAATCCCCCGTCCACATTGTGGTCCATAAGTACACCCCCCCATCGCCCAAAGTGGACGGCGGGACGATCGCCAAAGTCACTCAACTGGTAGAGCATCGGGCTTGTAATTTGAAGGCCCCAGATTCAGTCCCTGTCCGCAGAAAGTTACCTTTTCTTGCATTTTTTTTTCGCAATTATATTTACCACTAACAACGCCCTTTATACTTTCCTTGGCAATGATGTCTTTGATTCGCGTTGATATTCTATCAAACAAAACAAAAAAACGACCGCTCAAGAATTTCCACTTCCTTCATTCTGAATTGTTATCACAATCATCGCCTTGCCCTTCCAGCAAAAGTGTGTTTTTCGTCTTTAATACAACATCCTAGAACAGGATGGTGCAGAAGACCACAGTCAATTCAATTTAGCAAAACAGTTCTACCATTCAGACTGTAATGCACTGGCAAATACAATGGCCGTTTGCCGGTTCTCTTGAGACACCATGACAACACAGCATATAAAAGCATACATGATACGATTTATGCCAAGGTCCCATGGACGATAAACCCTCATTTGTGGTATGCCTGAAGTGTCTTGAAACCACTGTGGTCCACTGCCAGCTGCTGTCGGACAATGGAACACGGCTGCGGCAGTCCACTGTCAAACCATTAGCTGTGGGTGTTTGGCGTTGAATTTTTAGTGCATTTTTTCACTGTGAAGCATGTGCACGCTCCCCGTACATGAAGTGCCATCTACTGAGGAATAAACAAACTTCATCATGCAATGAATGCATGATAAAGTACATGAAGTGCCATCTACTGAGGAAAAAACAAACTTCATCATGCAATGAATGTTTCATTTTTCTCGCACAAGGCCGCAGCACACTCTTCAGCTCGGACTTTCTGGACATCTGAGCGCTCTCACTGGCACAATGTTCGCTGTGAAGCAAGCGTTTTTTTTTTTTCACATGCCTTTTATGGCAATAATGCAGGCAGTAATTTAGGCCTTTATTCATAAGTCGACCTGAACTTGACTCTATAAGATGCCTTTTCATAGGAAGAGGAAAAGCAAAAGGACGAGAAAAGATCATAGCGTGTTTCATTCACTAGCCTTGTTCAGACTTAAAGGCCAACTGCAACGAAATTTTACTTCGGCGGGAACAGCCATAAATCATATATATACGGTTAGTAGTATATATATGGTTAGTTACAATAATGCCAGTGGAAACTCTTGCACTCGTGTATTGAATTTATAATTGATGCTCTAAGTGCCAGCAAGCAGACGACGCGGAGCTCTAGCGGTATGCCAAGGCAAATCGGACAAAACCGGATATGACGATTACTACAGAAGGTCGCTGCGTTACTCCTTGTGAGCAATGCTCCCTGCCGCTAAATCGCTCTTTCCGACGTTGAAACCGCTTTCAATGCAGTGAGTTTGAAATGCGTCTGTGCGTTTGTGCTGTCTTGGCACTGCCGAAGGACAGCAGGTTTGAAACAGCGCGTTCGTGCTGCATTCAAGTCGATGGCAAGTCAAGTTCAAGTCAAGCAGCATTTTTGAATACAAGGGTCAGACACTGCAAACCCACTAGCGGGAAGCCCGGACTGGCGTTCGGTAAGAGAATAAGACGCAGATTTCCAATGTTAACATATAAAAAAACACACAACCTAAGGGGTGTGTCCGTGATGTGGATAGAGTTTCATACAATAATACCCAGAGAGGAATCTGGCGCTGAGATCACGTACTTCCATGGGAATTATGAGATGTACATGCTTCGGATAGGATAGGGTTAGCTAGCGAACTGTATATGGACTTTTTTTTTTTTACAGATTCAGTTTCGTTATTCGCGCAGAGCGGATAGTGGGGTGCGGTGAACAAGGCTGGAACAGTGCCTTTGTTGTTCGAAGAGGCTGACGACTACTAGATCTCCTGATTTGCTTTGGTGTTCGAGCTTTACGAGTCGTATTTGACAGCTTAAACGGTCGCTTACTGACCACTGCAAATAGATGTAGCATATCATGCCTGTGCAGGAGTTGCCTCGAGTTCATGTTTTCACGAGTGCATCTACTTGAACTGGTTTAAATCGACTGCAAAGCAATGACGAAGGTCAATAGACGCATCGTCACACTCCGCTGACTCGATTTTACAACAAAACCAGAGGAGCGTTGGGAACAGACCACTGTAACAGGTGCACCTAGCGTCGCAGAAGACGAAAAGATAAGTATTTCTCACTTAATAGTGTACTGCTATTTCCATAAATTAAAATAGATCGTACATTTTTGAGAAAAAATTACGGCATATTCACGGGGTGAATGATGATGAATGGGCGAAGCTCCGGAGGGATTCATCGGTAAACTGTGAATCTTCCGTGTAATTCGCCCAGTCGATCATCATGTAAAGACGTGAGAAACGCTGTGTGTGTATATACACAAATCAACTTTTATTTGTTCTTAGACGATGGATGGCTTGCGATGTCCCTTGCCTCGCGCGCTCGCACATCGGGATTCTGTCTGCGAGCGCGCGCTGCTGCCGCCTTGCGCTCTCTCTGCTGTGCAGCCTTATCCATCCGGCGACTCCGAGCGCGCGCCAACAGCGAACGGATTTTATTACAACGCTCCCCCTAGCGTACGTCGCCGCACTAAATCGAACGATTGCCTTCAACCAATGACACGCGCCATATGTGACATCATTCCTATTTTATAAGATCTCGCGTCTTTCATCAACTACAAGTACCGCTTTCTAGTTTATAACATCTTGCATCTTTTCATCATCAGCTACAAGTACCACCATCTAGTAAACACTACAAGAACTAAACGAGAGGTGGCTACATACAGGAGACGGTACCGCCATCTAGTGAACACTGCAAGAACTAAACTAGAGGTGGCTACATACAGGGGACGGTACGCCATCTAGCGAACACTGCAAGAACTAAACTAGAGGTGGCTACATACAGGCTACAGGGGACGCACAGCCCACGCCCTAAGGAGCTTCGCCCCTAAAACAAGCATGTTTGTTTTCAAGTGTAAAAAATAACTTATTAAATCTTGATGCCAAATCTTGAACACAATGGCAGAGTGATGCTTACCCTGATTGTGTAAGTTGCCCAGGTTTCACTTTTGCCGCCTGTTCACGAAAACTTTTTGCACTACTAAGTTTGCGTACAAATATTTGAAGCAAGTTTCAATTAAATCTAAGTTCATATCACTTTGTTTCACACTCAGAATAGAAGCGTCGCAAATCTCAAGAAGGTATTCTATCCGAAGCGAAACCGAAGCCTTTACTTCCCATAATTCCCGTGTGGATACAACCGCCGCTGAAGGAGCCCGCATAGACACTAGCGCCGAATTCCCCTCTAGGTATTATTGCATGAATCTCTATGACGATGTGTGTGCTCGAGTAGCGCGGAGCACACAATTTTTCTGCTGTTTACGTCACTTCTGGCCAGCCGTAATGGCGTCGTTTTTTCTAGTTTCGGTTGTAAAAACACAGTCTTTTGCAAGATTTTTTCTAAGACAAGCACTGGTATTTCGAAGGCGACATTTGGCAAGCAGAACTAGCTCCAGCTAGACTACATAAATATAGGCTTTTTGGGTAGTGCCAAATTTCGTTGCAGTTGGCCTTTAAAAGGCCAGTAAATAGCCCTGAGGTTTAAAAATTTTTTTTAAAAAATATATGTGCACTTTTTCTTCGCGAACATGCTGCAGCAAGAATTTTTGCGAATACGTGCTATACTAAGGAAGTTACAGGGGTTAGAACATCGGTCTAACCTGGTTTCAAATTTTAGCGCGGCCTCGCCCCCCTTCTTCCTTCCATGAAGGGGAAGACGTACCCCATCGTCGTGACTCCGCCCATTTCGGCAACGTGACACTCCGTCAGCAATTGACGTCATCCTCGAACTCGATCAGTCGCAATGCACTTCCTCTTGCTGCGAAGCGTGGTTGTTTGTTTACAGTTTGCCGCTACAGCAGCGAGTCAACTGTGTAAGCGTCGGGTGCGAAGTGTCGAATACAAACGATGAGGTCCCCGACGTATGTCGCTAGATGGCCGATTCATTTTAGCCATGCATTGCGCAGGGACCCATCAAGAGGCACCTGGTGCTGACGCTTCTCCGCTGCCCAGTCGCTCGATTAGCAGCCGACGACAGAGCAACGCTTTTTACCCGTGTTGCTCATGTCAAGGGTGAAGTACGCTCGTACGTGCGCACAGGCGCTATAGAAGAGCGATGAGTGTACACGTGCACATGACAACTGCGAGGCTGGTTCTTTCACCGCAGTGCCAAGAAACAAAGGGCAGTTTCGTAGCTGTGGGTGGGAAAAGGACCTGATGTTGACTTCACTACTGTTTTTTCACACCTGATATAGACCAATCGGCGAGGTGCTTCATTGAGCTGCGTGCTACGTCACATCGCCGATCGTCGAGTTGACGTCCCTGCATGCAAGGGGGTCGGTTAGCAGCAGGAAAGATGTGCGGGAATTGTTTTTCGAAATAGAGGCTTTGCGCGGCGCGTAGCGCTGTAATAACTAGGAAACGTGATCGCTGCGTTCTAATCTACGAATTGCAGAGCTTGTGTGGGGGGGTAAAAAAAAAGTCGGAGCCCGTTTACAGGCCCTTTAAGGCACTGTAATGAAAGGTGGCCTAGTCGTCATGCAGCCGCAGGAAAGGCTAAAAGATTTCCTGGCATCAATGTTAG